CTTCCGATCTTGTATGTTTTGTTGCAGCCACTGAAGATCTTGGTGTCGCCATGGGCCGCCGCCCCGCCCGCTGGTGAGTGCCTGTTTCGCTGCTGGGAAAGAGGGGGGAGAATTTCATTTGGCTACTAAAAGCAACCGTGGGTGGGGTCTCCCTAGTGCGGCTTTCGTGTCCTGGGAACGGACCCCGCGTATTCCCCAAGAACTTGCAGGTCGCTTTAGGTCTTTGTACCATTTGGTTTTATAAATTCATGCTGGTGTTTACCGCTTCCCCCTTTTCGTTGGAGTGCCCGGTTGACCCAGGTCTGCATATGTTAGCCCCATTTTAGGGATACAAGCGACGTCCGCCTTGCATCCCGCCTTCAGAGCTGAAAAGTCGCTTGCTTTTTAGGTTCGGTGCCCTCAGGGCCTTTGTGTGCCATCCCCATCTTATTTCCAGGCGACGAGCCGTGTGGGCTCCTTGGTCGCCAAGGGCAGTCCCAGAAAAGCGTGTTCAGCCGCCTCGTGTGCCCTTCAGGGGGCGCCCATCACGAGGCTTGGAGGCCGACCTAATGCCACGTGCCCAAAGGACTTTAGGTGGATGGCATGAAGTGTGTTACTCTTCGCGATATTTGAACTGAGAAAGTCCGTTTCAGGATGTTAGCCTTATAGGAAGTTGAAAACACAACAGAGCATAGAGGGTGTTTTGTTTTGTTTTTTTACTTTTATAATCTCCTAGCATTGGTGTCCTAACTTCTGGCCACATCTTGTTTTAGCACCAATTTCTAGGAATGGAGACCAAGCTTAGAGATGACATGTGTCATCTCCCCCTCTCCCAACGCCCCTTTGGTCGTAGATTGAGGAAGAACTCAAAGTGCCTATTGTGGAGTTCACTTGTGAATCCCTGCTAACTTGGGTTCCTCCCCTTCCCCGCAGTTACCGGTATTGTAAGAACAAGCCATACCCAAAGTCTCGCTTCTGCCGAGGTGTCCCTGGTAAGTGGTGGGAAAGCCCCCAAACTGGTTTGGCTGCACTGACCCAGTTGCTATGGCACACACACACTAACCAGATTTTTTTTCTAGATGCTAAGATCCGCATCTTTGACCTGGGGCGGAAGAAGGCAAAAGTGGATGAGTTCCCACTCTGTGGCCACATGGTGTCGGATGAATATGAGCAGCTCTCCTCTGAAGGTGAGGCAGGTTTCCTTGCTCACCATTCCTGGTCCCTTGTATGTGCTCCCCCGGCCAGACCTAGAGCTCACTGCACTGGAATTATCAGGTCATTAATTACGAGCAGCCAGTCATGAGCCTCTTTACTAAACTCCCCCAGCCAATACAGGTGTTCCCAGAGAGCCATGGTAAGTGCTTCTGTGCCATTTTGTCTCACTCTGCTGCCTCCCCCACCCCAATAGCCCTGGAGGCTGCCCGTATTTGTGCCAACAAGTACATGGTGAAAAGCTGCGGCAAAGATGGTTTTCACATCCGAGTGCGGCTCCACCCCTTCCATGTCATCCGCATCAACAAGATGTTGTCCTGTGCTGGAGCTGATAGGTGAGCTGGGTCCTGAGACTCCTGGCCTTTTCAGATGTTCTCCCATATCTTAAAGCCTGGGCTTGATTATTTTTTTTCATCAGTCAGGGCAAAGAGGTGGCCTCACAAAGACTCAACCAACCATAGCAAAGCCAGGCCAAAGGGCTAGCAAGTGGACTTCAGTGGGCAGTCCCAGAGACAAACACAAAAGGCGTCATGGCTCTGGGAAACAGGTAGAGGGAGGTGCTTCTGCCAGAGGAGCTCCTCTTTGAGCCTAATGACATGACCTGCAGGCAGGCAGGTTGCTGGCGTGGTCACAGGTTGGATGGCTTTCAGATGAGCCCAGTAGCACCTTGCAGGGATTCTAGCTAGTCTGTTTTGGGGTTCTCTGTGTTCTTTGCAGCCAGTTAAGCCGACTGTGCTCTTTTCCCCATGGGGGCCCGGTGCGCAATGGCTGCAAACAGCAGCCTCCTCGGTAGTGTATGCAGCCTGTTGCCTGTATCGGTTGCCCTAAGGGACCTTGGAGACAGCCCTTTCCAGTGGACATTAATGATTGGCATGCTGTCCCCAATCTAGGCTCCAGACAGGTATGCGTGGTGCCTTTGGAAAGCCCCAGGGCACAGTGGCCAGGGTCCACATTGGCCAGGTCATAATGTCCATCCGCACCAAGCTGCAGAACAAGGAGCATGTGATTGAGGCCCTCCGCAGGGCCAAGTTCAAGTTCCCTGGCCGCCAGAAGGTATGTAGTGCTACAGCCTTGTTCTCACCTTTCCCTGCTCCTGTCCCCAGGCCTCCTGACTCAGCTGTTTCTGTCTCTCTCTAGATCCACATCTCCAAGAAGTGGGGATTTACTAAGTTTAATGCAGATGAGTTTGAAAACATGGTGGCAGAAAAGCGGCTCATTCCAGATGGCTGTGGGGTCAAGTACATCCCTAATCGTGGCCCCCTGGACAAATGGCGGGCCCTGCACTCGTGAGAGCCTTGGCGCTGCCCCCTCCCTACCTATGCCCACCAATAAACTCTACTTTCTTTTCCCTGTCTTTGCATCTGGATTCATGGCGGGTGGGGAGCCTCTGGGAGTCCTAGGGTTGCTGTCCCCTCTCTTCAGAAAAAGGCTGACAACTAAGCTGGCCAGTTGGCACTTAGCAGGGCCAGCACCGGGACCAGTACTTGGACCTGCCTTAGATCCCAGGCAGTAGGTTCACAAGTCCCCCTGCATGTGCATGGAGCACTTCCTTAGTAAAGCACCCACCCTGGGTGATGGAAAGTGGTCTCAGGCAGCTGTGGAAGCTCTTCCCCAAGGGTCCCAGACCAGGACAGGAACATTGTTGGACATGGGGAGGAAGGAAGCAGACCAGACATGGTTCTGGCTGTATTTTCACCAATTACCCCTGGAGTAAACATTTGTCCTGGGCCTAACCACATTTCCCTGTCTACAGAGTTGAGAAATCTCATCACCCCACCCCATCCTAAGCCTAACCCACTACCCCTTATAGGGCCTCACTCCCAGGGCCCTTTACTCCTGATATCAAGCTCCTATGGCTGAGATAGGGCTTGGCTACAAGAGACCTTTGGGCAAATAGTGTGCAGTGCCCTCTGGCCCAGGGGATCCTGGTGTGCTATCTGACACCAACTGCCAGGGCCACCCTGCTGTAAGAGCAGCTGAGTCCCAGAGCTCTGCTAGGTGGGGTGGCCTGGGGCTGTGAGCCCAGGAGAAGAGGACCCTAAAGGGATTTGGTTCCAGAGCCCAGCATAGTAGCCAGAGAGCCTTGCTGCAGTCTGGCTGTGACTGCATGCAGCAGTCGGACCCTGAGAGGCCTCTGGCATTTTGTAATCCTTAGCAACTGCCATTTCTAAAGTTTAAAACTACCTTTTAACCTAAAGTTGATGCTTTTAAATCATAAAAACATAACTTGCACTTAAACGGCTCTGATGTCCTGCTAGCCGTCTTTAATGAGCTGTTTTCTGGGAAATGGAGCTGGGGAAGGAGGGGTTCTGTGATAACACCAAGTGGGGTCATTGTTACTTGGCTGTAGTATCCTGTATCCCTTTCCCCTGGGGGATCACATAGTCACACAGTAGCTACTATGGTTTACACAGTAACTTTTTTGTAGATACTATAAGTGGTTTATGTAGATGCTTTGTGTGCACTTGTAGGGTAGGTAACCAGCCTCAGAGGTGTCAGGGCAGCTAGCTGGGTTACACTGAACTTAAACACTTCCTGTTGACTACTTACCCTGTGTGTGTGTGTGTGTGTGTGAACTGTTTAGCTCCGTCCCTGTATCTAGTGGGGTCTTGCTTCATGTGAGTCCCGCGTATGATAAAGCTGACCCTTTGCCACGTCTGCTACACACATGTAATATCCCTGCAATCGCTTTCTGTTCTCAGCGTGTATGGTCTTGTCATACAATAAATATTTATTTATTTGGCTGCATCGGGGTCTTAGTTGTGACACGTGGGATCTTCAATGCAGCATGGGGGATTTTCATTCCCCAACCCCAGCCCTGGAGCCTGCCTTTTGTCCTCACTCCTGACACTGCCTGGGCTTAGAGTGGCGTGGCTCCAGCCTCAGGGCCCCTGCCTTCCTCTTCCACATTCTCGTGCCAAGCACAGGCCCAACCAAAGAACACAAGCCAAAGCAAAGGCACATAGAGGAGTGGCAGGGCAGGATAGAAGGGGGGCGGGGGTTTGAGTCCAGAAAACGGCATAGTCCGTGCATCTGTGGGCAGCTGGCATGTGGTGGCTTCAGGCCACCAGGCCCAGCTGGGGGGACAGGAGCAGCAGCAGTGACAGTAACAGAGTGGCCAGGCTGAGGGGCTGGGCCCCGTGCACCGCATAGCTCAGCTCCACCTCCACGGGGTAGTGATCGCTGATGTTGAGGGCCTGGGGGTGGGCAGCGGGACAAAGCATCAGTCTCGGGGCCTAGGGGCTTCCCCATGAGCCCGTTCCTGCCTCACCCCTTTACCTCCTCCTCGGTGAGCCCAAAGCTCTGGGGGAAGTCAAAGGCGGCTGCGCCGCGCAGCATGCTCTGGAGATGCTCCCCGTGTAGCACTATGCGGTCGTAGGTGCAGTGGGTGCTGGCCCGCACTGTGGTGTCCACGCCATCAGGGATGGCCCAGTGGAAGCCAGCCTGAGTCCGAAGGACTAGGTCATCCAGGCGCTTTTTGGTCAGCGAAGCACAGTCAGCGTTGAAGTCCCCAAGCAGGATCACGTCCTGGAGAGGGAAGCAGCAGTTGGGCCTGGCCACCTGGCCATCCTATCCGCCTCCCTCCCATACAATTGGCCCGGCCCTACCTCGCTCTGCCAGCGCTGGGAGGCATCCAGAAACACGTGGTACAGGGCGTTGAGCTCCGTCTCTACGGCCTTCGGCGTGGTGTGCAGTGAGACCAGCACCAGGCTGGGAAGGACTGCAAGGCCCCGGGGACAGAGGGCTCCCAGTCACTCCTGGCCCTCCTCTGCCCAGTCCCCCCCAAGGCCCCGTAGAACCCACCAGACCCCCATTCCT